TAGCTTATTTATTTGAATTAATTAAACCTCTTTGATACAACTAAACAAGGAGAAATACATATTTGTTAAAGACATTTTCTAACGAAATTATTACTAGCATGGTCACATTATATTTCCAATTATATTTCTAAATAGAGCTTAATAATCACAAATGTGATTTGTTTGATTGAATATGCAAATAAGAATTTTTAAAATTCAGCTACATTAAATCCTAAAGCAGGTATTAAAAAATGAGTTCGTGTAACCTTGCTGCCATACCCCAGGTGGAATTATAAAAATGAATTCGCTGAAAATATTCTGAATGACCCCAAAAAGGTCAGACTGAATTATCCCCATAGATGTGCAATATAAGCCCAGTGTGAAAGATTAAAGGTAATTAGTTACATATAGATATAATAATATTGTTTTGAAACTCGTTTCCTAAAATGTTAGAAGCGCACGTACAATCTCCAAAACAAGCCCGCGAGATCGTCAGAAATGCACTGAGTTGCACCCATGAGAGCCGTTATGTCAATAAACGCACGTGCGTGTATTTGAATCTCTCACCGTCCATGGCGTTATCCTCACTATATGCTACACGACGCAACACAGTTCTGTTAGTTACGTTCTTTGTGCTTTCAATATGACGATATATGTTTTTCACGATTTATTAAACAAACACATAATGCCATAACCGATTTATGTACTGGGGAATATTTTTACCAAAGCCCCGCAGTCACATTACGCGCGTTCTGATTGGTTTGTCGTATTTTCGCACATAACAAACATCGAGACGGGGACGAGTCTTCTTGGAGGTTACGGAAAGGGGCGAGTGGTGACGACTGCAGGCTGATTGGCCGTCACCCAGGGACTATGACATGAGAATCCGGTAGGGCCTACTTCATATGCATAAGCTGAGCATATTGTGTCTGTATCTCGGTAATTTGATTTTGAAACTTGATCGTTTTTCAAGTTTTGAAGGAAAATAGCTCTCGATCAATTTTTGAAAGTAATACCTTCAGGCCTTCTTGAGTAGTTGTTTTGATGAAGGAATCCGAACTTCTTGTGTTGGTCACATTCAGCGGTTTGAATGTGTCCAGTTTCAGTGTTTTGGTTTTTGCTGCAGAGACAGGTGTTTCTAGATGTGAATGACACAAACATCACATGTAATGGTCACAATCCGCAAAAATGGCAAGGGAAAATTTGACCTCTTGATACTCTGATCTGAATTTCAGAAAATGTTTCCATAGTCATTCTAGACTCGTTTCTGTTTCTTAGCATTGACCTGTTTAACTGCATCAGCTTTGCCTGGAAGTAATCTGGAATTGTCATCGCGCTCAAAGTATTCTGTAACTTCTAAATGGATTTGAAGCATTGTCTGCAAGCTGTACCGTGTGACGTCACCGACATTCTTTCAAAAATTTCCTTCTGTTAATCCTAGTGTGGTTTGAAATGCGGGAGATATATCTGTACTTTTTCACAACTTGTCTCAATCTTGGCGTCATGAGATCTTTGCTGTTTGGAGCATTGGATGGTGATTTGACTAACTGATCTGTCACAGCCGTACCTCCTGTTTTATTCTTCTGTGTCAAATGTAGTGAGTGGTCTCTCATAGCGTGTGGGCGGTCGGGTAGACAAATGGTTAAAGCGTCTGCTCATCATGCTGAAGACCCGGGTTCGATTCCCCACCTGGGTACAATGTCTGAAGCCTATTTCTTGTGTCCCCCGCCATGATATTGCTGGAATATTGCTAAAAGCAGGCATAAAACCAAACTCACTCACTCTCACTTACTGATCCTTTCAATACGTCAGATAAGAGAAACATTTTGGTCCTTTAGGTAAGATATCACTCAGCGTGCCTTTGCAACAAATTTACTGATGCGTTTCAAATTCTTCCTCCGTCCTTTGTGGAAAGGCAACTGTACAATCATTGGCGTAGTGGGCAGATCAGCTGTACCGGGGACTGCATTATCTCTCTCTACCCTCGGAGCAGCCACAACTTCAATCTCAGTTTGAGTGAGTGAGTGAGTTAAATTCTAACGTCACATCGGCAATAATTCAGCCATATAGTGACGGGAAAGGTTTTGCATACACAATCAACATACGTTGTTAAATAATCAGCAGTTATCGAAGGACTGTAAACTAACTAGAGTATCACAGATGGTGTCTAAAACTAGCATGGACGTCTCAGTTTGAGCTGCAGTTTATACAGTAAGTCTGTGGTTGCGCACCTGCTGTCTAACTTTCCTCCGGCGCTTAGTTCTGGCTTGCCTATTGAGCTGAGATGTAGTTATGTCAATTTTACTACTCTTTCAAGTTTTCGTTTCGTGTATCTTTTCTCCTCTTTGAGTTTCTTTCTTTCTCTCTGATTCTGCACAATCTCCACATGACTATTGAACATCGTGACAGAAACTATTTATACTCTTACACTTAAAATTGTGTACAAGCGGGCAATCCACGTGAAGATACTGTATTTGATGAATAATTCATTTACATTACATATCAATTCAATATCAATTCGGTCTAACATTCATCTAATTTCCAAACACAGTACGTTTATCTCCTAAGTATACGAACTCCTTTCATATGCCCGATGAATTAATATGCAGCGTAGAATATAACTGCCGATATAGGTGCGATCAAATCCATATACTTTGACGTTGTATTGTGTGGAATGTCTGCCTACGTCAATACTTTTTTAAAAAATCACCAAACTTTGACATCATTAATTCATTTGAATACCGCGAATGCCATACCAGCTTAATGTCATCATTGGCCGAAAATCACGGTTCCTCGCACTGTCACCAAAGATACCAAACAAAAGAGAGTTGTCAAAGTTGAATGGTGTTCTTCTAACTTGTGTCGATCGTTGTCGATCCTTGCGTGTTCCCTCTCTCCTGTAAGTTATTCAACTTCATCTGTCGTGAGGAGGTGGAGTAGCCTTGTGGTTAAAGTGTTCAGACGTCACGCCGAAGACCTGGCTTTGATTCCCTCATTCAACTTCATACGTCGTGTCAGCTGTGCATCTAGTATATTGATTTTATCAAAGCAAAATGATAAGGAGGTGTGTTGTCAACGTCCATAACGTCTTAAATCTTTGCTTGGCATTTGGAGTCTACATTTGCCAACTGCAGCTGGTGGATTCTATAAGCATCCCGAACATTGGCATCAAGTTATGTCAGTCCAAATGTATTCAGTATGGATGTCGAGGTATCCGATACAACGTTGAAACTCTAACGTGTCATCTATCAGAAAGGACAACAGATGTGATTTTGGAGGAGGCTGAACACTTCTTTGATCCTACACGTCTTTCAGATGTAAGTACTTACTCAAAATCTACAATGAACTCCTGCATTTAAATTTAAATGAACCCGTGAAGATCCAGGTTAGAATTGGTCTTCAGTAACCCATACTTGCCGTAAGAGACTACTGAAGGGATCGGGAGATCAGGCCCGCAGACTTGTTAACACATGTCATCGTATCCCAATTGCGTAGATCGATGCTCATACTGTTGATCACAGGATTGTCTGGTCCAGACTCTAATATTTAGCTGGACTATGGCTGATTGTAAAACTAAATTCACTCACTAGTGACATTGTCTCAATAATATACGAAGAACACAAAATAAGGTAACCTAAGTAACTTATTTATGAACCAGGCTGTATATTCCCCAAAATGTGAAAAACATGCAGGATTTAAGTCAATACCGAGTTTGACCACCGTATGCAGCAACAAAGGCGTGTCACAATGCCTTGTTGTCTGACAAAGTCACGAGCCCTATCCGGTCTTGCGCTATCATCTTGAAAGATGAAGTTACGTCCTACACTGCGGAGCAATAACGAGGTGCAAGATTCCGCTGAATTGCTGTATTGTCAGGCTACCGTGAACGAGAAGATCTGTACTCCTATTGAAGGAAACCCCTCCCCAAACCATAACACTCTCTCCACTGAAGGAATCATGCTCCATGATAGTTTTACGAATGCACCACGTCGTCGCCATACACGTTTGCAGTCATCAGCGAATCGTAAACAGAACCTTCACTCGCCAGAGAGCATGCCGTGACGCCATCAACATACAGTCAAGACCTGACGTTGTTGACACCACTGTAGATGAGCCTGTCTGTGGGCCTGTGACATGACAATACCATACAGACTCCTTGCTTTCTGACCAGCCTCACGGAGTCTGTGACGTACTGTGCTACAGGAAAGACGTATCTCAGTTGCAGTATGCAACTCTCGCTTCAGTTACGAAGTGCAATAACGTGTTAGAGGCGGTCTTGTCTGGCTGTAGTCTTCCGATGGCGTCCACGACCCCTCCTCACCAGTCTGATGAAGTAGAGCTTCAAGCCCAGAGATAACACTCTCTGACTGCGAAAAAAACTGGCAAATCGATTCTCGGTTTCTCCGGACTGCAACATACCTACGATATTTTTGAGCTAGTGTTATATACTGTCGCAGTGGCATTTTGCGTGACACTTAAGTAGCCTTCCGTGCATGCAGTGCACGTGCGGTCGTGATTTGAAATCATTTAGGAATACAGTAGTCAGTGTGTTTAATTGCTCTGGGCTTGGAGTTCAGGATTTAGAACAGTTGAACCGTAAACTCGCCATGTCAAGTCAGAAAATATCAGTGTTGGGGTTCCCTTTTTGGGGGGTTCACGAATAGATATAAAATGTAACTCATAACGTCTCTCTTCAGGTCGAAGCCGGAATCTGTACTTTCAACACGTGCCTAATGATGAGATGCCTGGAGACTCATGCTGCCAAGACTGTCTGTGTCAAAGGTACTCACAGTGTTTTAATGTTCAACAGTAAAGATTAACATTTTAAAACTAATACTGAAAATTGTGTCATGTCTACATGCTTTCTTTCAGATGGACATTATCAAACACATAACCAAACCTTTGTCAGCACTACTCTCATTGATGTCTGCTCACTTGGAGACCTGTATCAAGTTAAAAACAGATTGTCTCAAGATACCGCAAACATCAATATAAGAGGTGAGAATGGTAGGACACCAGCAATGATAGCGGCAGAGAAAGGACACAGAGAAATACTTGAATTACTTGTGAAGAAAGGTGCAAATTTATCTCTTCTGGATGATAGGGATAACAATATCTTACACGTTGCCTCTTTGGGGGGAAGCTTAGAGACAGTGAAGTATATCCATTCACAGAACATCATTGACATTGACAGTAGGGGAGAGAACGGGACTACCCCGTTGAGGATAGCAGCACTGTTTGGGAAGATGGAAGTGTTTTCTTTCCTTATCAAAATAGGAGCTGAAATATCAAAAGAGGATCACAATGGTGGAAATATCCTCCATGTAGCCTGTCAAGGAGGAAATGTAGATATAGTGAAATGTGTCCTCAGGCATAAAGCGCTGTATATAAACAGTACTGATTACAAAGGAATTACACCATTGATGTCGGCAGCAGGTTATGGGAACAAAGTGGTGTTTCACGTTCTGATAGATCGAGGAGCGGATGCCTTAGCAAAGGATGCTACAAACAGAAATATCCTTCATTGGACCTGTCAAGGAGGAAATGTGAAGATATTGAATTTTATCCTGACACGAAACATTGTGGACATTAACAGCAGAAATAGAGACAAGATGACTCCATTGTTGTTAGCAGCATATTATAAGAAAAGAGATGTGATTGACCTTCTAATAGAGAGAGGTGCTCATACCTTAGCAGTGGATCATAAAAGTAGAAATATTCTCTATCTTTCCTGCAGTAGTGTGGATTTGGAAACAGTGAATTATATCCTCAAACAAAACATTGTGGACATAAATACCAAGGGGGAAGACGGGAAGACACAAGTGCTGGTTGCCGCGTACTTGGGGAATGGAGAAGTATTTGATATTCTAGTGAAAAAAGGAGCTAATCTTTCAGTAGTTACAAATAATCGTGACAACATCCTTCATTTGGCCATTCGAGGAGGAAATATAAAGATAGTGAAATATATCCTGACACAAGACGTGGTGGTCATAGATAGTAAAGGGTTTGAAGATATGACACCAGTGCTGCTGGCAGCGGATGTGGGGAATATAGAAGTATTTGATATTCTTGTGAATAAAGGAGCCGATCTGTCTGTAGTTGACAAGGATGGAGAAAGCATCCTTCATTTGGCCATTCGAGAAAGAAATGTGAAGATGGTGAATTATATCCTGACACAAGACATGGCGGACATAGATAGTAAAGGGTCTAAAGATATGACACCAGTGCTGCTTGAAGCGTATATGGGGAATATAGAAGTATTTGATATTCTTGTAAATAAAGGAGCCAATCTGTCTGTAGTTAACGAGGATGGAGACAACGTCCTTCATTTGGCCATTCGAGGAGAAAATGTGAAGATGGTGAATTATATCCTGACACAAGACATTGTGGACATAAATAGTAAAGGGTTTGAAGATATGACACCAGTGCTGCTGGCATTGGATGTGGGGAGTACAGAAATATTTGATATTCTTGTGAATAAAGGAGCTGATCTGTCAGTAGTTAACGAGGATGAAGAAAGCATCCTTCATTTGGCCATTGAAGAAGGAAATGTGGAGATAGTGAATTCTATCCTGGCACAAAACATTGTGGACATAAATAGTACGGACTGCGACGGAACGACACCAGTGCTGCTTACAGCGTTAATGGGGAATATAGAAGTATTTGATATTCTTGTGAATAAAGGAGCGGATCTGTCAGTAGTTGACGACGATGGAAACAACGTCCTTCATTTGGCCTGTCTAGAAGGAAATGAGGACATTGTGAAACGTGTGCTGTCAATGGGCATTCTAGATGTAAACACTAAGAATGATAAGGGTTTGAATGCGACTATGATAGCGAGGGAAAAGGGTTATTTATCAATAGCAAAGTCACTCTCACAAGTCTCTTAGTAAGTGAGTTAGTTGGTTAAAAGTAAAAGCAGTATTCCCGCCGTGTCCTGTACTGACTATGAAAGCTATATCTTAAAAAATACAAACGATATAAAGACCTGGTAACAAAGGACAGTGAAATAACAAGCGTATTACATACTTACATTCAAATCTAGCAGAACGGTGGGGTAATGTTAAAAAGTTCCCTCGTCACACTGAAGACCCGGGTTCGATTCCCCACATGGGTACAATGTGTGAAGCCCATTTCTGATGTCCCCCGCTCTGATAGTGCTGGAATATTGCTAGAAGGTATGAAACCTTTCTCTCTCAAATCTAGCAAGTAACAACAAAACGATATGTCTGTACACAACAGTATACAAACGGTATATAGGTGGCCAGCATCTGAAGGTTGTTATCTTGTAAACTAGGGACCTTGGTTTGTTTGTTGTTTAACGCCGCACTCAACAATATTACAGCTATATGGCGGGGGTCTGGAAAAAAGTCCACATTTTAAAGTCCAAGCTTGTAAATGATTGGGTTCCTAGTTGATCACATCGGACGGCGAAAAGAAAACACTTACTTGATCCCAACTTTCAAAAAATGTATCTCTTCAAGCGTTAGATGCAGTTACATTAATATATAGCACAAATGGATAATATTAAAATACGGCTTATTCCTGCAGTTCTCGTGAATAAATATGTCACATGCAAGATGCATTATGTTTATCAACAATATGAACTCTAACAGAACAAAATATGCGTGAAAAGTTAAGTCTATCCTTGGGGAAAGAGGGGCGGTGGGGTAGCCTAATGGTTAAATCGTTGGCTCGTCACGCCGAAGACCCGGGTTCGATTCCCCACATGGGCACAATGTGTTCAGCCTATTTCTGGTGTCCCCCGCCGTGATATTGCTGGAATATTGCTAAAATCGGCGTAAAACTAAACTCAGTCAGTCAGTCAGCTTTGGGAAAGGAGAAATTATATGAAATTTGGGAAAATCCTTCCTAAATTTACAAAATGTACAAGACTTGTAAATATCATGTTTACAATTTTGGATTTTTTCCTAAATATGATATTATATACAAATTGTAAATTTTTGTAAATTACCTTTTTTTCTTGTGTTGATTCTAGCTTTTTTAATACATATATAGCTTTTGGTTCGGCTGTAAAACGAGTAATCTGGTAGTCTTGATGATATGACATGGCCTTGGTTCTGGCACCTGTGTCACCATCCTTGCATCCATCATCAAACATGGATTTGTAAACAGGTTTAATTGATTATACCTTGGCTAATATATCCGTTGATTTGTTTCTAAATTCCGTGGTTTTGGTAATGTGAGATCCTCCTTTGGCAAATAAAAGAATTGGGCTATATTTTCAAGATTTACGTCTTGGAGGAGGATATTGCTTCAGAGCTGGCAGATCACGGTGTATCAGCAGTGGAACGTTTCACGATTAAGAAAGAGGGTATCATCGTGAAAACCATCACGTATCTATTGATTTTGACCGTTCCTCTGCTGCAAAGTCTATAAAAGCAGGTTATTTCAACATCGGGGTGGATGTGTATGTCCGCAGTCCACTCCGTTGTTATAAATGACAACATTTCGGGCATGGGTCGCAATCCTGTCGAAACTCTACAGTATGCCATCGTTGTGGTGATCGACATGAGGGTTCCGACTGTGGGAAAGAGTATAAGTGCACAAACTGTAATGGTGCACATTCCGCTTCATCCAGGTCCTATCCCGTGTATCAACGGGAATCGGAAATATTGAAAATCAAATGCAAAAACAATACTTCATACCTTGAGGCAAAAAAATGTTGACTCCATCAAATCAGCGAAGAGGGATGTCTTCAGGGAGCTTGTTCCAGAGGTCAGCACCACCCTTGGAGAATGACCGATCTCCATATGTTGCTGTTCGTGTTACTTGCACAGTGACAGTCAAGCCTGATGTCGATCTTAAGGCTCTACTTGGCCTGTATAGCTTGATGTAGCTTGGTGCTAACCCATGGAGTGCCTTGAATACCAGAACCAGGACTTTAAACTGTATCCGTTCATTCATTGGCAGCCAGTACAGACCTTTTAGTACTGGAGTCATGTTGTCGAATTTCCGGGTACCCGTGATCGTTCATGCAGCAGTTTTCTGTATCCGCTGCAGTTTGACCAACTGAGTCTTGGTTATGCCATACAATAGGCTATTGCAGTAGTCCAGCTTGGACTAGTGTCTTGAGTGACTCCTCAGTCAGATACTTTCAGATTTGACTGATGTTCCTGAAGTGGCAGTATGACTTATTGCACATTTTGCTGACATGGCCTTTGAAATTCATGGCAGAATCAAAAACAATCCCTAGGTTTCTTGCAGAATCAATTCTTACAATACTGCAGTTGCCAATGGTCAGTCGTTGGTGTGACAAGGCTTGAGATTTTGCTGTTCTCGGTATAATAATGAGTAGTTCTGTCTTCTCACCATTGAGCTTCAGAAAACTAGCTTTCATCCAGCACCTGATGCCATCGATGCAGTTTGTCACTGACTGAAACGTGTCTGCTACGGATGATAGCACTCGTGGTCTGAAGCCAAGATACAACTGAGTGTCATCTTCATATAGGTGAAACTCTAGCTGATGTTTCCTGGCGATATCGCCTATTGGGGTTGTATAGATGGTGAAGAGAATAGGGCCGGGTACATATCCTTGTGGCACACCGTATAACAGCGCTCTCCATCTGGACACATCCTACTCGACGGTCACATATTGGCATTGTGATTGGTATTGTTTAGTATCAAGATCAACCGTTTATCCAAGGTTTTAAACGATTCATTCGATGGATCATAATTTGTGGATGATTTTAATATTTCTTGTCGTGGTAGAAATATGCATACCATTGAACGGCAAATGCAGTTGTGTTTAAATAAAATCAATAAATGGTGTCTTGAAAACGGCATTAAATTTTCTGAATCCAAAACTAATTGTATACATTTCTGCCGGAAATATAAACCTCATAAAGATCCAGAACTATTTTTAAATGGCACTCCCATGAAGGTTGTTAAGGAGGCCAAGTTCTTGGGTCTAATTTTTACTCACATTTAACGTTTCTGCCACATATAAAATCCCTTAAAACTAAATGTCTAAAGGCACTCGACTTGTTAAAGGCTGTTTCCAATTGTAAGTGGGGAGGGGGACCAAGCTACCCTCCTATATTTATATCGATCACTGATCCGTTCAAAACTTGATTATGGCTCCATCGTATATGGTGGAACCTGCAAAAGCAACCTGAAAATTATTTATTCTGTCTACCACCAAGGCCTAAGACTTTGTCTTGGGTCATTTAGATTTTCTCCTGTTGACAGTCTCTACCTCGAGGCAGATGAACCATCTTTTTGCACAACGCTGCATAAAACTATCTTTACAGTGTATTACTAACCTGTACTCTAACATATCTAACCTTGCATATAACTGTGTCTTCAATCCCCGCAATGGGGATTTATACACCAAGAAATCTTCTCTTGTTCCGCCTCTAGGAATAAGAATTAAACCTTTCCTTTCTGCTCCTGGCATTGAGCTAGAACATATTTCTCCTTTCGGTCTTCTTTCTTCTGCTCCTTGGCAATTGGTTAGGCCACAAGTTGACCTAACATTAAACACACTTAAAAAGTCAGAAACTAATGAATTACGGTATAAACAAGAATTTAGTCAGTTAAGAAATAAATATAATACATATAAATCCTTATTTACAGATGGATCCAAGGATGGAGGCGCAGTTGCTTGTGCCACTGTCATTGGATCCAGAACAATATCTTCTCTATTGCCTGATAATAGCTCTGTATTCACAGCAGAAGCAAATGCCATATTAACAGCCTTGACATATATTAATAAACACCCTAAATATAAACAACATATCATCTTTTCTGACTCTCTTTCGTACCTTCAGGCTATTAAAAATCGTTCTTGTAAACATCGACTTTTCATAGAAATTATAGAATTATATAATTAGCCTGCTACTGGCCAATGCGACAGCGTGTTTTGTTGGTTACCCAGCCATGTTGGCATTTCTGGGAACACAATGGCCGATCTTGCTGCCAAGGCAGCATTCAACAAATCTGTGACACCACTTTTTATTCCATACTCTGATTACAAAGCTACCATTAGATCTTATATTCATGATCTGATGCAGAAGAAGTGGGACACTCAAGTAGGTATTAATAAATTACATGCAATAAAACCGTATATTAGTTACACCTACTTGGGTTGTCAGTCCAGATTTGAAGAGGTCATTATGCGACGATGTCGCATTGGCCATACACGATATACTCATGAATATTTATTGAAAGGCGAAGATTATCCTTTTTGTATCCCTTGTGATGAAAGGATCACAGTCAAGCATGTCTTGCTTGACTGCATTGGATATTCCATCACAAGGGATAACTATTTCAAAGTAAAAACTATGAAGGATCTTTTTAATAATGTCAGTTCTCATTTAATTATTGCATTTTGAAAAGAATTAGATTTGTTAAATGAATTGTAAATAGATACATATTTTATTATTGGTAGTTTAGATTAGTAACTGAGATTGTTAGTGGCTGTACCCTCAACGGGGGTTAAAGTACTGTAAAATTATTGTCCTTCTGAGAGGGTACGTAAGTATCAAAATTTTCAAAGTCAATTTAAACTTACCAGGATTTTTAAACGTAGTATTCTTGTAATTTTAACCTTGGCTAACATTTCTTACAATCACCAGCAGCTGAAGGGATGATGTAAACCCAGCTAGGGTCCATGCAGGTAGCAAAGGTACTGTAAGTCCCCATGGACCCTAGTATGGTGATCTATCTTCAGTTGTTGGCGATCTATTGCCTATTTTTATATTGTGTTGTCCCCTATAGTTAACATGTTTTAGATTCAATTACTAGTTTTACATGTATATCTGTGATATTCTAGTTGTTTTACTGTCCTTCGTCGGCAGGTTTTTATAATATCTATATATATTCTATTTCAATGTCAAATGTTCTCGTCACGATATGGCTGAAATAT